CCTCCTCCTCCTCCTCCTCCTCCTCCTCCTCCTCCTCCTCCTCCTCCTCCTACTCCGCCCGTGGTCGCCAAGCCTCGCGCTTCGCGCCGCGAGAGGGGCGCGCGGCGCGCACGGCGAGGGGCGCGGGGAGCCGCTGCGCGAGGGCGCCCGAGCGAGCACCCGTGGAGCAGTCCCCCGGAGCTCCCGTCTGGGCCCAGTCACTGTCGGGGGCCCACCGGCCGCCGCACGGCTCTCCAGAGACGGGCGCCACTCCGACATGGTGCGAAGTGGGGCCCGCTCGGCAACAGAATGGGCCTTCCGTCGTCGCCCGCGTCGCCGCAGCCGCCGTCGAGGACTCCGCCGTCGCTGCTGCCGTCGCCGTCGATTTCGGCGTCGCTGCCGCCGCCGCCGCCGCCGTCGTCTCCGGCGCCGTCGCCGCCGTCATCGCTGTCGTCGGTGTCGTGCGACGTCGTTGCCATCGCCGCCATCGCCGCTTTCGCTGCAGTCGTCGCCATCGTCGCCGCCGTCCCAAGCGCCGTCGCCGCCGCCACCGCAGCCGTCCTCGCCCCCGTCGCCGTAGCCGCCACCGGCATCTTCGGCATCGCCGTCGGCGCCATCATCAGCGCCCCCGTCGTCGTCGACGACGGCGAGGCGCTGCTTTCCGGGATTTAAAGCGCCCGCGCCATCGGAGCCGCCACAGCGCAATGCAATTCAATGCAAACCGATGCGAAAGCAACGCGAAAAATCAACACAACGCAAGTCAAAATCAATGCGCAATCGATGCGAACGCATGGCGTGATAAACCGTTACTAAATATTTGTGACCATTCTGCCACGGCGCGGGTGAGAATCAAGGTGCGCAGCGTGAGCCCATCCTCAGGCGATATTGCCTCGAGGCAAGGCGTCCCTGAGTGCAGAAACCGCTCGCCTTCGTGATACAATGGAACGGAGTGTGTCTCGGAGGGCATGGAGCAAGTTTCCCTGCAGCAAGAGGGTTCAGTTCACCCCGACGGCGGCGTGAGTTTTTCCGTATGGCAGACCCTGTGCGGATGAAGGTTCCACATGGTACTAGACATCGAAAATCTAACGAGAGTCTGGGTGTGGACCGAAACTCCGCTGCCGCTGGACCTCATACAGGCCTCGGAAGAAATTAGCGAACACTCATGCCAAATTCATCTGTCAATCCCCCCCCCAATGATCAACCTCGGTGGCGGGTTGGATGAGTTGCACTTCGACCGCAGTTTTCCGCGCGTGCCAACTTTGATTTTTGGGGGGCGGGGGACTGTCCCTTAATTGTTTCCCTATGCCGTATTGTAGCACTTTGCGTGGGGAAGCTCCGGGTTGCACGCCTACCGGGATGTTCAAAGCTTTAAGAGCGCCATGGTATGTCCACTCGGCGGCCATGTGGGCTCAGACGCTGGATAGGCTCAGAAAAGAATCCTGTCTATCGCCGGAGACAGACCTAGACGTCAGGCGATCTGAGTACCGTTTAACCGATCCCCATCCCCAGCGGCGTGGCCTGGGCCCCACTGGCCGATTTACTCCCCTAGATGGGGATGTAGGTCGTTCTCTTCGGGTTTCGAGGGGTGTATCCCCAACTGGGGTGGTAATTTGGTGGGGGTCTCGAAGGGGATGGGGATGAGGATGGGGATTGGTTAAACGATACCGACGCTCCGATGTCTTCGACGCGTGGGCCACCAGACCCCGAGACACCTGCAGGGACGAACCTTCTGCCGCGACAGAGCACAGCTCCGAGGGCCCGAGACTGGCCCCCCCGGGTGCCGGCCGCCTCGGCTTCTCAGAGGCGCCGAAACCCTGAGGTCCGACATCTCAAAAGACACGCAACACCGCGGAACATATCGCGGCCAGAGCGCGTTTTTTTATTTTCGGCGATGATGGGCATTATAAGGGGGGAGGGGCCAAGGGGGGTGGGGGTATAATGTAACGCCTCCCCCCCGCCGTGCGCACGGCGGCAGTGCCTGGAGAGCACTGGGAGGGAAGGGGCGTTACGGGGAGGGGGGGCCGGGGGCTATAATGCCCATTATGCTCCGAGCAACAACGGAACACGCTCCATGCAACATCGTGAGGCATATCGCGGCCAGAGCTCTCGACCCCATCTTTCTGCGCAATGTTGTGAGTCGGATCGATCTGGGAAGGGCCCCGGGCCCGAAGAGAGAAGTCGCCGTTGCGACATCAAGATCTCTGCAGGAGATGTCCGTGGAGGATCCTCGAAGGCTCGCTCCTCCGCACCCTGCGACCCCTGGCGGCGCAGGGGCCTCTGGTCTCAACCGCTGGCTGTCGTAGTGCTGCCGCACGGCGGAGCTGGACCTGCCGCCGCCACGCGCACGCGCGGAGCGGCGGTTCCAAGCCATGCGCCCGCCTCTCCTCGGAGGCGGCCCCGGACCTCCCAGATCTTGGGCGGCATGGTTCTTGTCAACTGGCGGGTTTTCCGTGATCTCGGCCGTCGGGGGCCGTGATCTGGCCCACCGACTACCAGAACGGGATCTGGGACGAAGAGCTGCCCCGGGGAAGCGGTCTGGACTTCGGGGGCCGCGGGAGGGAAAAATCACACCGGCGAGTGCCAGGGCGGAGGTCTTCACACCCAGCATTTTTTGCTGGGCGGGCCCTAGCGGGCCTCCGATGGGCGGGCGCTCGCGGAGCGGATGCCGCCCTGGTTGCCACCACCTGGGGCCGCCTGCGCGAGCGAGGAGGTTGCCAGACCTCCGATCGCCATGGTTGTTTCAATCGCTGCATTTTGCTTCACAATTTCAGCCCTGGTGGGCATCAGACATGGATCCGGGAATCAAGAGCTGCCCCCTGGGAGGAGCTGACATATGTCTGATCCTGTCTGAAAAATTACAAATCTAGTGGACCTGCGGAAGAGCGACAGCTTCTCGGGGAGGATACATACACTTCAGCACGAGCACGAGCACCACGTCTTAGTGCACTAAAAGGCCGAAGCCCCGGCCTGACCCAAAACAATTATGGAGAGGCTCGGGCTGGGGGTGTCTGGCATATCCTGGCTACTCTAAAGCAACCCTGCGACGTCTCACAAGCACGAGAATTTTAGATGCCAAAACACACTCCCACCCACAGTCCACAACCTCCAGAGACTTTACAATGTTCAAGCAGGGTTGAGTTGTAATGTATAAATCATGCACGCAACGCTATATATACATGTGTATATAGATATAGCACGAAAGCTAGCAACAGCTGAAGCCGCAAATCACCAGGCAGGGTCTCAGCATCGCGGGTCTCAGTCGGTCGCGCAAGGCGGCCGAAAGCTCCCCGTCGCGTGACCTTCGACCTCCGCTCCTCCTCGCGGATCTAAGGACCTAGGGCGCGTGGTCATTCTCGACTATGACGAACTCTCCCTTCTTCAAGACTCCAGGCAGTAGATCGGCACAGCCGCTCCTCTTTGTAAGGGGGTCGGTGAGTGCCGCCTGCCGTCCGCTCATCTGACGCCAGCCGCGCCGTCCCCCATGCCATCTCGTAGAATCGCGATGTCCATAGCCGTCCTCTGGTCCTTGTTGGGTCCCGCCGAGATGTTGCACAAGGAATCGTACAGCCAATTGCTGTCCGCGGCCGCGATCAGTGGGAAAAACTCGCCTGGCCTCCGGCGCCATCTTCACCGTCGGCCCGGGGAAAACCGGCCGAGCGAACAACGGCCTCAGATAGATGCCGTTCGCGAACTGTGCGTCGGCACCCAGCGCCCCCGCCGCCAGGGAACTGGGCACCGCGCCCAAGGGGAAATCTTGCCCCAGCTGCACTTGCAGATGCAGATGTCCCGGGCCACACAGATCCACCCAGCCTGGCTGCTTTGGTCCTTCGCGTTTGCCTATGCCGCGTCGGCCACGGCGAGGGAGGTGATGTCCTTCGGGCTGACGGGCCGAATCCACAAGCACGTGTCAGAGAAAATTTATCCGATGCGCACCGGCCGGTTGCGCTCCAGGGGGTCCGCCACCTTCGGCTTAGAAAACGTATTCTGCAATCGCGAATATCCAGGGGGTCCGCCACCTTCGGCTTAGAAATCAGCTGAAGTCGGGTCGCGTCTCTCGTCCTGGGTAGTTCAGTGACCCCGCCACCGCGCGCAGGGCAGGCATCTCCTTCTCGTTGCGCCTCTCGTTGGGCATGTCCTGGCGACTCCCCGGGATATTGATCGGCTCGATCTCCCCCACTATGTTATTCTGGATGACCTTCGCGGACTTGTCCGGCAACTGCTCCAATTTCTTGCCCCGGAAATCACCCATTGCCTTCCGGTACTTGCCAGACGGGAACTTCTGCTTGATCTCGCCCATCGCTCGCTGGGAATGCCCGTCGCCTCCGCCGCGGGCGTCGCCCACCGCCATGGCCCAGGCCCCGCGGTACTGGTCGCCATCCTGCAAGTACAGCAGGCGCGGGTCGTAGGAGCTCACCGCGAAGCCCGCCACGCTCGCCCCTGCCGCGCAGCTCTTGCACCACTGGAGCGGGGCGTCGCCGAGCCCGTAGAAACATGCCGAGATCTCTACGATGGAGCCAGGTTCGGCACCAGGAACCCCGTTGGCCGGGAGATCGCAGAAAAAGGGGGCCCTGCTTCCGCCGGTAGCGATGCCCGTTCGTAGAGGCCGAGCTGGCGTCGCCAAGCTCGATGGAAGAAACAACGACACACACACACGCACACACACACAAACACACACACACACACACACACACACACACACACACACACACACACACACACACACACACACACACACACACACACACACACACACACATACACATGGGAACGTTCAGCTGCTCGCGCATCTCCCAGGGCTAATTCGACACCATCGGGGCGTGAGCCTCCAGTTCGGTAAGGTCGGGGCCCTTGTCTCCGCGGCCAACCCATCGACGCTTCGCTATGCGTCCCCCCCCGTCCATCTGCTTCCAAGCGTAGCAATGTCAGCTCGGCATAAGCCTGTCTGGCGTCTCGCGCCTGACGCGGTCCTCTTCCTTCAGGGGGCGCGATCCTGGCCGCCTTAGCTGTCGGGGTGTCATTCCCTTCCATGCCCCTTGCTGCCTAGAACTGCTCGAGCCCCTCGCCCGCCAAGCCCTTTTGAGTGCGCCTCCTTGCGCATGGCCGCCTGCTTGACGGACGCGCGGGCCACCTCCGCGGCCCGGTGGGCCATCTCCGCGGGGACATCGGAGTTGGGCATGTCTGGCGTCTCGCCCGCCACCCTCTTCGGGGCTGCGTGCTGCTCTGGCACGGGGCCCGGCGAATAGACGTCGGCGGCCGCCCGCTCGGTCACGAACCTCCGTCGCGCTGGCTCCTCGCTCTCACGGGCGAAAGAAGGTCGCGCGCGTGAGCGATCCTACGTAGGTTTCGGAAGTACGCGCTGCGCGAACGTTCGCAGCGCGAGGCTGGCACCGCAGACTGGCGGGCCGCATTCGCGCGCGCGCGAAGCTGGGCGCGCGCCCTTTGTGGGCCCCCGGCGCTCTCCGCAGTCCTATCGATGATGGGGAGCTCTCCCTTCGCCTCGCCTCGGGCATCTCCGAGCCCCCCCCGCGCCCTCTGGTAGCGCCGCCTCGGGGGAGCCGTGGCCAGTTCCCTTGGCCCTCGGGGCCCTGGCCGCATCTGCCCTATCGTCAACGGCCGGGGCCGCCGCGGCGTCTGCCTGCGCCGGCGCGCGCGGGCCCTGTCCCGTGTCTGGCGAGCCCAACTGGTCCGAGATGTCCTCGACCCCGCGCCTGCCCCGCTGTCCTCTCGGTCGGCTGTCTGACCCCCTGGGTCTCGGCCGCAAGCTCGCGAGTTTGCGCCTCCGCCCTGGTCGCGGCCCGCAGTTGCTCCCAGCTAGCCGAGGATCACCCCGCCTTGGTAGGACAGGTAAGGCTTCCCGGGGTCGCCGCGCAGATCACGGTGGTCCCAGGCTTCCCTCTGGGGCCCCTGCTGCCTCGAGAAATAGACCTTGCCTCCCCCTTCTTCTGAGGGCGGTCTCGGGCGCCTCAGTCTCCCGCGAGTGGGCGACCGAGGCGGCGAACTCCGCGGCGCGCGCGAGGCCGCTCGCCGCCCGAGAATCGCTCTGGGTCGAAGGCCAGGGGGCCCCGTGATCGGCCAAGCTGGCCTCGAGGTCGCGCGCCATTCGCTGGTTGCCGCGCGGCCTTCAGGAACGACCCGGGCGCCGAGGAGGTCGCGCTGCCGCGGCCAGCGCGGCGCTTGGAGGGGCGCGAGCATCGCCCAGATGCGCTCGCGGTCCTCGAGGCGCCCGAATCTGATCCTCTGCTTGCCGTAGAGCGGCGCGCCCCACGGCGTGCCCGGGCGGCGTCGCAGCCGAGCTCGGCGAAGGTCGCGGCGTCGACATGGGCAGACCACCTCTGCGGTTCGCGCGCGATGCCCCTGTTGCGGCAGCCCTGCTGCCCCCTTGGCCCCGATGATCCCGGCCACTGGGTCCGCCTCTCCGAAGCTCGAAACTGCGCCCCCGATTGGGTGGGCTCGTCCTCCCACGCCATTCTCGGAGCCGCCAACCTTCGCCAGTTCCCGCTGCATCGCGAGCTGGATGGCCTCGTCTGCGTCGCGACCGCCTGCCTCGGCGAACGAAGGCCCCGACTGCCTGCCTCGCGACCGCCTGCCTCGCCTGCCGCGCGGCTGCCCTGCTCGCGCGGAGGGGGCCCGTCGGCCCGCCGCGAAAACCCCCGCGCCGTGGCTACTGCCGCTCTGGAGCAAGGGTGCGCGGGGGCGGGCCGCGCCCCCAGGAGCGGGGCCGCTGTCCCGGGCGGCGCCGCGGGCCAGCTCTGGAACTGAGAATCTGCACGGCTTAAGGGGGCGTGGCGTCGCCTTTTTCGGCCCCCCCCGCGCCGCTCTGGGGCCGCTCCTCCAGGCGGGGCCCTCGGCGAGTGCGCTGGCGCCCCCGGGCCCCCATGCATCTCTTCTCGCCCGGCCCGATTTGTCTCGAGAGTTGGCCGCCGATGGCATCCAGCAGTCTGCGTTGCGCTCTGCAGATCGTCGCGCGACACGTCGACTCGCCGAAGGGTTGCGGCTCTCTTGGTGCCGCTCGGCGCAGGTCCCCGCGTCGCCGGTCCGCGGGCGCGGCCAGCGGCGGCGCCGCCCGTTGAGGGGGGGGCGCATGGCGGGCGGGACCGTGGGCCCCCCGGACCTGCCAGGTGCCCCTCTCCCTCCGCGACCGGGCGGCCCGCCTCGTAGGCGCCCCGCGCGCGCGGCCGACCTGCCCATTCCTGCGCGACAGCCTCGCGGGCTGCGTTGAACTCGTCGTCTCCCATGCCCTCGCCATTGTGCTCGTCGGCGGCGAGGCGCCTCTCCCCATCGATCTGCCCGTCGACGGAACGCGGGAAGCCGACGCGCCCCGGGCCACCCCTGGGGCCAGGGTCGGGGAACGCAGCGCGTCGGGGCCGGGTCCCGGTATCCTGATCATCGGGCGGCAGGGCGAGATCGACCAGCTCGAGCAGGTCCGGCTGCGCAGCCCCGCCAGCTGAGTCGAAGAACTCAATCACCTCGTCCTCCGCGCAGCTCTCGACGAGGCGCGCCAGGAACGCCTGCGAAACCTTCGTGCAGGCCACGTCTGCTGGCATCGCCTCGCCCTGGGCCGACCGCGCCGCCGCCGAGACACAGTCCACGGAGGCGAGCGAGCCGGCGTCGTAGGGGAGGCAGACGGCGGGCACCACGATGAGGATCTCCTCCACCTCGAGGTCGCTGACGTCGTCTTGCGCCAAGGCGTTGACGGCGACGGGGCCATCGAGCCGCGCGAACTTGGCGCCGACGACCCGGGCCTCGCACCTCGCTGCTGTGCCGGCGGCGAGGGCCCAGCTATATGCGGCTCGAACAGCCACCACTCGGAGCAGGACGCCCCCGGTCCGCTGCAGCGCCCCAAATGGCGACGTCGTCAGTGTGCCCTGGTCCAGTCGGGGACCTCCGCTACTCTTCGAAGAGCTTGTCGATTGCCCAGCGACGGGAAAAGACGCAGGCGATCTCGCCCGCTATCTAGTGTCCTTGCCGTATCCGAGGCTGGCGACGGTCGCCTGCCACGCGACCGCGCCGCCTCTGTGCACCCCGACGAGGTCCTCGCTTGAACCCAAGGGGGTCCCAGATTGCAGTGATTGTCAGCGGCAGGGACGGTCCGAACCACAGGCTCGGCACCTGTCGCTCTTCTGGGCGGCCCGCGATGGGTGCTGTCTGGGATGACGACCCAAGGGGCCCCTCTGGGCCCTCCGCCGCCTCAGGCGTGGCCTCCTCGCCGCTTGGAGTGGCCCTGAAAAAACTTCAAAGCCAGGGACAGGTTCGTGGACCGCCCGCGGTCTGGCCGCGGGCCCTCCACGCATCAACCGCGCGCACGCCTGGCGCGCAGCGCGGGGCGGGCTCGATCCGAGAAAGCTGCAGATCACTTCCGTCTACGAACATAACCAGTGTGCTCACATCATCATCAACATCATCATCAGCATCATCATCATCATGATCATCATCATCACCACCACCATCATCATCATCATCATCGATTGACACCATCACCTTCATCATCATCATCACCACCATCACCAGTACCACCATCATCACCATCATCCTCATCATCATTATTATATCATCAGCATCCTCATCACCACTATCAGCATCACCATTGTCAGCATCATCATCAGCATCAACATCCTAATCATCATCATCATCATCATCATCATCATCATCATCATCATCATCATCATCATCATCATCAGCATCAGCATCAGCATCAGCATCATCATCATCAGCAGCAGCAGCATCATCAGCACCATCATCACCATCATAATTCAAATTCGTTCTGTGCAGGATTCTGGGCAGAAGTGGCGACGAGTCTCCCTCCCCCCCAGGAGGCGCAAATTAATTCTGAACAGAGGTAGCGATGCCACCCCCTGGAGCCAGAAATTAGAAATAATATTTCGACATCTCTCCTCTTCCTCCTCCTCCTGCTCATCCTCCTCCATCCGACGCCTCCTCTTCGGCCGGGAAGGAAGCTGCAGACCTGGCAACGTCGATAGCAGCAACACGAACGGCCCCGAGGTCCATCTGGATTGCGGCCGCAAAGATGTCTTGGTAGACGTTCACGTCCTCGCAAGGGAGATCCTCGTCTCCTGCGCTGTTCTTTCCTCCGCCGTCTCATCCGCCTTTTCCCTGGAGACCCCTGGGTCCCAGCGAAACGCCCAGGACCCACTGGGATCCCCGCGGCACCCAAGACGCTTCAAGAGGCCCCCTGGGCTGCCAAGAAGACGCCCCAATAGGCCTACAAGAAGCTCTCGAGAGACATCGGACCGAGAAGCATCCAGGAGGTCTCCAGCCTTCCTGTTTGATCTCCTCCTCCTCCTCCTCCTCCTCCCCCTCCTCCTCCTCATCCGCCTAATCCTCCTCTTCCCTCCTCCCTTCGCCCTCCTCCCCCCTCCCCTCCTCCCCCTCTCCCCTCCTCCTCCTCCTCCTCCTCCTCCTCCTCCTCCTCCTCCTCCTCCTCCTCCTCCTCCTCCTCCTCCTCCTCCTCCTCCTCCTCCTCCTCCTCGTCCTCCTCCTCCCCCTCCTCCTCCTCCTCCTCCTCCTCCTCCTCCTCCTCCTCTTCTGGTTCCTCCTCTATCCTCCCCCGTTGGGGTATGACGGCGTCCCAACCTATTCCACTACGTGCTCCCCCACGTGCCTGATCAGGGCAACTCGCCTGGGCATTGTTTCTGGATGGACTGGTGGTGTGACGCGAAGCGTCTGTAATGCAAAGTTGCGAAGAATACTTAGAGAACGTAGCTCTCGGCCGCTGGGCAGCTCACCGTGAGGGTCCAGGGATGTGAAAAGGAACCGTGGTCTCGGATCAGAGGTATCGGTATCTACTTGGTTCCGAAAGAAGCGTTCCATCTTGAACCAAACTGGTAACGGATGGTAGGAAGAGGAGGAGGAGGAGGGGGAGGCGACGGAGTATGATGATGATGATGATGCTGATGATGATGATGATGAGGAGGAGGAGGAGGAGGGGGAGGAGGAGAGAGAGAGAGGAAGGACGGGTAAGAGAAGAAAGATGCAGACCAGCAGTGCTCGATCCAAGACGGGGACCCAATCAGGTAAGGGTTGGGAAAAATAAGCATGCAGGCGATATGCAGAAGGCAAAAGGGAGAAGGGAAGAGGCAGTAGGAGGAGGTGGGAAGAGACAGGAAGGAAACGCGCGATGAGTGCCCTACTCAAAAAGAGGGCCCAACAAAGGATGGCTTGAGGGGAGACCACTTGCAAGGGTATAGAGAAGCGGCGCACGCTGCAGGAGGTGGAGCAGGGCAAACGTCTGGGGTCTTTGGCCTCTTTCTCCCTCCCTCCTTCTCTATTGCGCCCGCCCGCCCGAGTCCTCCTTGCTGCTCTGGAGCCGTCTCTTCAGCGCCTTAGCGGGCACTCTCGCGCCGCTGCAGCGGGCTGCAGAACTAGCGCAGCTCTCATCGTCGCCGTCGTCGTAGCGGGTCGTCCACGGTGGAGGAGCGGGGAACGAGGTTTTCTGGCGTCCTTGGGCGGCCTGGAGCGTCTGAGGGAGCGCTCGAATGGGCTCTTGGGGGCAGATGCAGCTGCCGGTCTTCCGGCAGGGGCTGGTATGCCCGCAAGGGCTCGCAAAACACAAGAAGGACTGGCAGAAGAAGGAAGGAGAGGAGGTGGGATGTTGACTCATGTCGTGATATTGTAGACCCTCGCAGAAGGGCCCTGGGCGCCGTGCCCGAAGCCACACGGGGTCTCGGTGAGAGCGCGCTCTCGGGCAGGCCTCGGGGCTGGCCTCCAGTGGAGGGGCCGGCAAAAGGAGGGGGGGATGAGGGGGGGCGTTTGAAACGGTTTCAAACGCCCTCATCCCGTGTGCTGGTATACAACCGTCGTTCAGACGTTTTCAAGCCGTCTGCTGGAATACAGCCGTCGTGCTACCATAGGGGACGTCGAACAGGGAACGACTGGCCATGTGTGGCCACGGCGAGCTTCGAGCACGAAGACGTCCCCGAGACACATCTGAAGAGCGGCCCGCAGACCAGAGCCCCAGGGCGGGCCTCGTTGCAATGTTGTCACTGTGCGCCAGGCTCTTCCGCAGGTCGAGGCGCAATGGTCAGAGTAGCTAAGCTGGCGTCGAAAGTTTGTGCTCTACGGACGAGGGGCCGACCACAGTGCGGCTCACGAGGGCGGGTTCTGCGAGAAGACGGGTGATGATGATGATGATGATGTTGATGATGACGATGGTGGTGATGACGCTGATGACGATGATGATGATGGTGATGATGATGATGACGATGACGATGACGATGATGATGATGCTGATGATGACGATGAAGACGGTGATGGCGGTGATGATGCTGCTGATGATGATGATTACCATGGTGGTGATGAAGACGATGATGATGATCAAGATGATGGCTGGTGGAAACGATGAAAACGATGATGGCGCTGGTGGTGATGATGATGTTGACGATGCTGGTGACGATGATGATGGTGGTAGTGATGATACGGATGATGACGATGAAGACGATACTGATGGTGGTGATGACGACGATGATGACTGTGGTGATGATGGTGATAATGATGCTGATGACGATGATGATGGTAAGGAAGAAGAAAAACGATGATGCGGGTGGTGGTAATGAAGATGATGATGGTGATGATGATGATGATGATGGTGATGATGATGATGTTCATGAGGATGATGATGATGACGATCATGATGGTGGTGATGATGATTGCGATGTTGACGGTGGTGGTGATGATGATGATGGTTTACATAATAAAAATGATGATGTTGGTGATGATGATGGTGGTGATGATGATGACGAACATGACGGTGGTGGTGATATTGATCATGACGATGATGATGATTGTGGTGCTGATGGGGAAGATGTCGATCATAATGATGAACTTGAAAACGATGATGACGGTGGTGATGTTGATGATGATGGTGATAATGACGAAGACGATTGTGATGAAGACGATGATCACGATGGTGATGATGATCATGATGCTAATGATGATGGTTAGGGTAATGCTGATGATAATGATGATGATGCTGATGTTTGGTAGTCATGTTGATGATGGTGATGATGATGACCACGATGATCGTGACGATGATGACGATTCTGATGACGGTGGTGTGGATGATAATGCTAATGGTAGTGACAAGATCAGGGTGATGATGATGATGATGATGATGTTGACGGTGATGGTGATGATGACGATGATGATGATGACGATGATAATGATAATGATGATGATGATGATGATGATGATGATGTTAATGACGAGAAAGGCGATGATGGCGCCTATGATGATGATAGTGGCGATGCTTGTGATTATGATGACGGTGCTGACGATGAAGACGATGAGGACGGTCAGGATGATAGTGGTGGTGATCATGAGTATGATGATGATGGCGAAGATGATGGTGATGATGGTGATGATGACGATGGTGATGATGATGACGAAGACGATGATGACGTTGGTAATGGTGGTGACGAGGATGGTGGTGATGATGATGACGATTGGTGATGATGATGATGACGATGGTGATGATGATGGCGATGATGATGAAGCTGGAGACGATGATGACGGTGGTGATGGTAATGATGGTGGTGACGATGATGACGGTGGTGATGATTGTGATGGTGATGGCGATGATGGTGATGATGAGGATGTTGGTGATGATGATGATGATGATTGGTGATGGTGGTGATGATGGTGATGATGATGGCGATGATAATGAAGCTGGAGACGATGATGACGGTGGTGATGGTGGTGGTGAGGGGGATGATGGTGATGATGATGAAGACGATGATGACGGTGGCGGTGGTGATGGTGATGATGGTAAACGTGATGATAATGATGGTGATGATAATGATTATTGATGATGGCGATGGTCACGATGATGACGATGATGATGCAGATGATGACGATTATGGTGGTGGTGATGATGATGCTAATGATGATGACGATGATAATGATTGGTGATGATGATAGTGGTGATGACGATGTTGATGATGAGGCTGAAGACGATGATGTAGGTGGTTATGAAGATGGTGGTGATGATGATGGTAATAATGATGATAATGAAGATGATGATGGTGATGATGATGATGGTGGTGGTGATAATGATGGTGATGATCATGGTGGTGATGATGATGACGATGATGATGACGATGATGACGATGGTGGTGATCATGATGACGATGCCGATGATGATTGATATGAAGACGATGATGCCAGCGGTGATGATAATGATGATGATGATGGTAATTCTGGTGGTGATGATGATGACTCGGATGATTGTGATGAAGGCGATGAAGACGACTACGACGGTGGTGATGATGGTAATGGCTGTGGTGGTGATGATGATGGTGATGATGATGACGATGATGATGAAGATGAAGACGGTGATGACGGTGGTGATAATGATGATGGTAATGGCGGTAGTGATGATGATGATGATGATGGTGGTGGAAATGAAAATGGCGATGATGACGATGATGATATTGGATGATGACGATGGTGATGGTGATGATGATGATGATGATGGTGGTGATGATGCTGCTGACGATGATAATGATGATGATGATGATGTGATGATGATGATGGTGGTGGTAGTGATGATGATGAGAAAGAGGCACGGGCTAAGGCGGATGTTTCCACCACCACAAACCGACTCCAAACTGTAATCGCACGCTCTCCGCTTGGTTTTCACACCAGGAAAGTGAAATAACAATAAGGAATTGAACTAGCTCCAGGAGGGCGTATGATGTCCCGTCCGAATATTGGTGGATTTCCTGGAGGGCCAAACAGGGTGCAGGGAAGAGGGGGGAAGGAAGAAGGGGGAAGCGAAAATGGGGGACAGGACAGGTGCTGGATTCGCGTTCGGAGACATCTTGGCTCAAGGGGAGCCGCTGCTTCTCGCGGAGGGGTCCCTTCCGCCCAACCCCTTGAGAGAGGGCGGGCGGGGGCCGGCCTGAACGTGGGCGGATGGCCATGCGCGGCGCCCACTGGCCTCGCGCAATGGCCACACGGCGAGGCACCCGCGACACCCAACCGGGACTTCGTGGGCTACCCCAGCTGCCGTGCCTAGGAGTACACCGGCTCCTCCGACCTTGACCACGCGACTCTCTCACCGCACCCCCCTGCCACATGATGCGAGATCATACCAAGCCGGCAACCTGAGGGCTGCATATGCGATCTGGGAGCGTATCGAGACCAGCGGGGATGACGTCATCGACGGACTGGCACACAACTTCGACAGCCTGTTAGACAGGGATCAGCAGCGCACCTACTGGGACCACCCGCGCCACAACTGGAACCAGAAGCGCAACAACCACAACCGGCAGCCCTTCGACTGGGACCAGAACCGCTGCGGCAACCATGAGGGCTACCACTGGGGCCAGCGGCACGCAGGCTGGACCCAGCAGCACTCCGACTGGAGCCACCAGCATTGCGATGAGGACGGGGAGAATCCCCACGGCCACCAGTGCAGCCACAAGCGCCAGAGGAACTCCTACGAGCACCAACAATCCAACGGGGAGCCGGCCCGGGGTGTTGGCCCCGAGAAGCAAGCAAACCCAAACACAGGGGAGGACCCGGCACGAGCCAGAAGAGCGCCACGGCCCGCAGGCGACAAAACGCACCCCAGGCCTACGGGCCAAATGCAGTCGGCCTTCGCACGCAGGCACCCGCATTCCTACCGACCTCCGTCGCCGTTCCGGAGGTCACGGAGACCAGCGACCAGAAGATAGCTGCCCTCAAGGGTTCCAGGCCCTCTAGGCCCGCATCGTCACCAACTCCGCCATCTGCACCTGCGGCGCCGTCGTCTTCCCTGAGCTCGCGCGCCCGCCAGAAAGGCCGCCACGCTAGCCGCTCGAGGCCCGCGAGGACCAGCAAAGCGGCCTCAACCAAACCTTCCCGGACAACCTTACGAACAAGCAGAGCTTCCCAAAGCGCCAGCAGAGCTACGATTAGGTCGGGCATGTCCCCCTACAGGCGGATTTTGGACGACAAATTGAAAACAGTCAAGAAATACCCGCACATACCCCCAACATAGTCTGACAATCGTCTCCAGACTATCTTAAAACTATGTTCGAGCATTCCTCCTGTAGAGGGGCACGCCCGACTTGAAGCTACTCCCGAGACCAGCAGGGCGGCTCCGGGAGCCAGCGCGACAACCCGGAGGCACCAGCAGAAGTACCGACGGGAGCAGGCAGGGCGGCCCAGAGCGCCAGCAGAGCGTTTTCAGCCAGACCTGAGCTGCCCGGGCAGCGCGGTCCAAGTTGGCGGCGCGCACAGAGGGGAGTGGGGGGAGGGCTTCTTGGAAGGAGGCTGCTCCTTAGAAGACGCCGGCCCTACACCTATAGGTAAGGCCCGCGCCTTTCGAGAAGCAGGGGT